TCCTCCCTCGAACCCCCGGCTCTACCAAGTGGCCAAAGGGCGAAGCGAAGTGCTTCCCGTTGAGTCGGTCCCTCCCCTTAGCTCCCTTGCGATCCGGAGCTGGGACTGACGATACGGCGTTTCGGTTCGCGTTACGTTCACCCCCTCAGGTTCCATGCATGCGGAACCTCGGACGTAACACAGTCTTTATGAGCTGACAGTGTAAAAACTAGCGGATTTAGAAGGTTGGTGCCATTGAGACATTTGATCAGTACCTCATAAAGTATACTTTCGCACATGTTATTTCAATTTTAACGGTGGCCACTTTCCCATATGATTAGTGCGTGGTCTTTTCTGTTTGTTTTTATTTTTATAAGATTTATATTTAGAAGTGTTAAATTATTATTTTTAGTCCATTAACAAAAGGCTTTAAGTAACTGTATTTGGATATTAGGTGTATCCAAATAATGTATTTAGTACTTAGGGATGATCTGTAATTTGTGTTAGATTTCAAAATGAAATTTTATTTATTATTTCGTGCCTTGCTTTCTAAAATATACTTTATATACATAAGTATGTATTTTGACCCATTATGGTTTTTATACCACGTTATAAAATTACAAATGGAAATGATGATTTTTTTCTGAAATCAAGAATTACATACAGCCTAAAACTTTTAAAGTATTTTTAAAATAATGTTCTTTTTTCATTCATGTAATATTAAACAATAATATAATAATAATACTTATAATAATTGCATTTAATTATAATATTTAATATTTACCATTATTTTACTTACTATTAAAAATAGGTCTGTGATCGCTATCAAATCTAATAAAACTTCGCTGGACCAGTGAGTGTCCGAATCGATAAGCCGCTGTAGAAAATGAATTTGCAATGGTGGGATTTACTGTCGGATCGTAGCCTTTGTAATAATCTTTTTTATGAACTTCCAGATCAAAGATTTTCATCACTTGAGGGCCTGAGGAACGTTACTAGTGCTTTTATTTTAGAACGCTTTATCACTTTTTAGTCTTTATGACACTATCGATAATATCGAAGTAGGTATACTAAGCTGGTTCTAACTCAGGTCCTCTGAGGGGAGCGCGGGGTGTGGGGGATACTCGATGGCGAGGGGAAGCGTAGCGCGGGGATTCTTCGGTAGTGGAGGTATGACGTCATGCGGAATGACAGTAAGATTTTGGGGACTGCAGTCACGTACAAGACAACAAAAAACATCACAAAAAAGAAAATACTGCTACGAACAAAAAACAATACAAAAACAAACAGTTATAGAAGTAAATGTATTACAAAGGGTATATGCTCCAACCGTTTTTCGACCAAGATATAGCGTAATGTAATTTTTATGGAAACAACGTTTATTAATTGTTTGAAATACCTAAATACAACCAAGTTTCATAATTATTAAGTATAGATATAGTAGGCGAGTTCTAACTATGTGGCTAGAGCGCGGAGAAGGTCCCCCGGTCGCTGCTGCGACCCCGCGACCACCCCAAAAATGCATTGCGGGCCGCCGCCGCCGCTGCCGCCGTGGGCCACCGCCACCCGCCCATAAAAGTACGAGAACCTCATTTTCCTTTTGTCTTTTTTTATAACTTAGTTTTCCCGATACGCTGTGTTCTTTTCTTTTTCTTTTACTAGGGCAAAGGATGGGTAGTAAAATAAAGTACATATACATATATAGTGATGCGAACGAATTTATTTTTATTCACATCTTATTACACCGATTTTTCATACGTATTTAAAAAAACTAAAGTTAATAGCTCGCAATCGACGAGCTGATGTTCATTGAAGATGTCGCTATCCCGTATAGCATTCTTGGACGCGATATTGGAGAATCGCATCACTATATATTTGGCATCGACCGTATCGACGAGTCGGACTAATCGTTCGAACTTTACGTCGATACACCCGTCAAACTCGAATATACGGTGTAGCGTCGTTTCGGTCATCATCATGCGTACGGATGAAGAATCGAGACGTACGAGCGTAGCATTGTTCTGCAGCGTGCAAACTCTGACGGTTAGCGGTCCAACGCTCATAAAATTGTATTTGTTTCGCAGCATCTTGTAAATATTCCATCGCAGCTCGTAGAGACCCTTCCATGTTTCGAGAGACAGCAACAGTTCGTGTCCGCGATGATCTCCCAGGGCGATCTCCACGTAAATCGTTGCACCAACGTCGATTCCAATTTCCACATACTTGTATCTTGTATTCGTTAGGTCGTAACGTCTGCTCAGTAAGCGCACCGCGCGACGCTCCATACTGTGTATATACATAATGTTGAAAAAAACGTTATTTATTGTATAAAATCTTGAAATTTACACGTTATATTCCTTCTTCACGTCGTTCGATGCGCTGCTCTCTTTGGCGAAGTACATTTTCAATCATTCGTTCAAGCGAGTATCGCAAGATTGATCGCATTCTCGTAAATTTTGACGTATATGGTGATACGTTCAAAATGGAAGAAAGGTCAGGCTGTCCCCTCTTTCCAAGAATTTCGAACGTGTCGCAATACGTTTTATCAATGTGTGTGAAGTTAGCCCCTCTTTTTTTAAAAATTAAAATTTTGACAATTGTTCCAGATTGTTCTGAGTTTGTTCTACATTGTTCCAAAGCGATATCATCTTATTCCAAATCGTTCTCCAATAAAAGGAAAAAACGAATTTTTCTTGCTAGCCCCTCTTTTTTGGAAAATCGAATAATTTTTTTTTGCTACAGATTGTTCTAGTTGTTCTAAACATTGTTCCAAAATAATAATTCCATATGACGAACAGAAATTGCAGAAAACAAAAAAACATTTTCTTATCCGGCACCCCTTTTCTTAATATTCGAAAAATTCATTATCGCAATAAATTGTTCTAGTTGTTCCAAACATTGATCCAAAAGGACAATTCGTAAATCAAACAGAAAACGAGAAAAATAAAAAATAAACGTTTTTCAACAAACAAAGGCTCCGACAAAAAGAAAAGGTACAATCTCCTTATCCCAACGCAGAATTTTATATTTTCAGTTGTTCTAGT